ATTCACCAAGGTTTGACTTTCTATAAATTAAAGTTGAAATGCGGTCTGGTCACTATATTTATTAAAACCAAATAATTTAAAATACAGATTATCTTTAAAATGTAGTCTTGGTTGTTAAAAAAAAGCTCATTATTACTCTTGGGACAGCCTGTAAGTACTGATTTAAATAAAAAAATTTAATAAGTATATTTTACATGAAATTTAATAGAAAAAGTCCATTTTTGCTTGATAAAATTACGTTCTGTAAAAAGTGCTGAATATCTCAATAAGTGAAATATTTCAGATGCCAATATGTAGGAGTGCTTTCTATCCGACGCATTTTTTACAGCTACTCGACCGTTTTCACAAACGTTTGCATCGCTATATTGAAATGTTGAAGAGTGAAAAAAATAAGGGAGCACCTGGATTAATTAAGTCGAAACTAATTACCAACAACTTTGTTTGAAAACRTATCTAATAMACCTGAAAATGAAAGAATTTGTTTTTATYGTTTTAGTTTTAGTTATTTATAAATAACTGCTGAAGAAGCAAAACCCAGCGTGAAACTTGGAATATTGAAACGAAACTTAATACTGCCAGAATCCCCTGTTCGACCCTTGTCTAAAATTTTTTGAATATTGCTGTGATGATAGCCGTATCAACTCTTGTGCAGAACTTGCAATAATTCTGACCCTCATTCAGATTTCTGACAAATTTTATTGTGCCTAAAAARAWGGGGAAAGATAGGAACGGAAATGTTAAGWGTGATAGTAGACTTGCGCTACCAAAATCGCAGAGACGAATGCCGAGAACTGAGCATTTTTCCTCCGAGGAATAAATAACGGATCGATACAGATTCACATGAATTAAAGATTAAGACATTATTTACGTCTATTGATTAGTCAAATTCTATAGATTCAAGCTAATATAATATTCATAAGTTTTATTTGCATTGTTATGTTTTTATTATTTGAATTATTGAAATAAATCAAATTTTGGAGTCATAAGAAAGACAGCCTAATTCTTCTTTAGTTCAGTTTTCAGAAAACATTTCTTACATTTAATTAAGGAAAATGAAAATGCTATTGATCAACTTTATTTTTTGTTTAAAAATATATACCTAGTCCACAAATTCCAACTTACTGACTTTTCAACATTATCTGCATCAATTTAATTAAATCACTTTGAAAAAAACACGTTTTTTGCTGAAAAATGATCTGGATTTTAAAAAAACTGCCAAAAAGGTATTAATTAACGATACTTTTATTAAAAAAAAAAAACATAAAACCAAACAAGCATTATTTAATAATCATAGATAATTTATCATCCATGAATTTCAATTTCTAGCACAGAAATTGAGTCACTACTGTTGAAATTCTATTTTAGTTTCTAAATTATTTTAGTGAATAGCCAATCAATAAAACGATTGCTTCTGGAAGTTAGCAAAAAGTTATGTATTCCACATATTTCACTTCCTTCATAATAATTAGTTAATAATTGAGTTTATTATTTCTAAAAGATGTGCTACGAATCAAAATTTTACAAGTTTATAAGCTCTTCTGCTCACATTGTATATTTTTTGGGATGAAAGGCGACCAACTTCAAAAAATTCAAAATCAGAACATTACTAAAAATAGTTATATTAAATTTATTCCAGAACACAACACAGGAATTACTAATGTTTCTGCATAAGAACGTAAATATAATAAGAATACATATAGGATGCAAAATATTGACGTAAAAACAAAAAACAGGTTTTATTTCCTAATTTTATTGTTTTGTATTAATTTAATTTTTTTTTTGTATGAATTGCTTTGCGAGCTCTTTTATTCTCTGCGAACTTTAAAAAAACTATTTAAGCAAAATTAATTGTTAATTTGATCATTATAAGCGATTTTTAAGTATTTCTACTTTTAGTTGAGTTTTTTCACAATGACCACATTTGAAATGACGACAAAAAGAAAACTTTAACATGAAAAATACTTTGTTTTGGCTGCAAATGAAAATTTCAAAAAATTGCAGCCTTAAGTGTGTTGATCCTTAACTTGGGACAAATCAGGACAAAAATAAAAAACAGGACAAGACAATGCAAACCTAAACATGTCCTGGCTAAATCAGAATAATGGCTGCAGAATAGTTGTGAATTGATAAGTCTAAATATCATATAAATATGGAATATAATGTAGATTTATTGTTATTTACAATACTAAAGGTTTGCATTTTAAAGCTTCTTATTTTTTTTCTCGCAAAACTCGAAAACTATAAGGAATTTCGCAAAATTTTATTCTTAAAAAATGATCAATAGTACGCAAAACGGTTATTTTAAGTACTCAGACCCTAAAAACAATTTCCGGACTAAAAAATAAAATTGGTTACCATGGTAACGATTTTTTTT